GAAACTACGCAGGGGCTTTCTGGAACAAATGGGATGGGTCTGATTAAAATAAAGCGAAGAGAAAACGGACGAGCACTAGAACACACGTTTTGTCGCATACGCAGAGCAGTAAAGCACTAATTCTTCAACATCGCTTCGAGCTCGAAGTTCTGCTGGTCAAAAAATGAGCGGAGTAGAGGAATAAGACCAAATTGAGAGAACTGTGGAAGAAAAACGTGGAAACGGTCAAAATTCTTCAGACCCCCGCCGTTTAAAACGCGTGCGGGGCGGCTGCAGCCCATGCAGCACAGTTGCAGTTCCCGCACAGTTCCCAGCACAGTGCGGGAACTGTGCGGGAACAGGAGCCGAGCTGGTCTCGTAGACTACATTTCGTCATTGGTAGATTTATCGATTTCTTGCGAATTCTGAGCTACCGGGCTGGGAATTGGTATAAGCAGGAGAGTGAGGGTGGTGACTACGGATATAATGTTAGTTTTAAAAAAAATTACATTTACCGACTCCATCGATTAAACTTTGAGCTACAGGTGTAGGATGACATAGGGAGTAAACAAGTATGCTACATTCAGATTATCAATTTACATATGTACATAAACATAATATCTGCAATCAGAGTGATTTTAATCAGTCGCAATGATATTTGCCCAAATTATGCGACCTTGAAATTTCGAACGATTATGAGGACGCGAATTCGTACGCTCACAGTTCGGCGATCAATACAGATAAGGGCTAGTTTGAGCATGCTCTGCTCTGAGCACTGTCTTTAGTGATTTCGAATTGCAAAAAGGAGCAGGTAAGGTGTCCAACATATGCGCGAAAAGGGCAGACAAATTTAGGAACTTGCGTAGTATCGCAGCTCTCTCAGCATAACCCTGCTCAAAGAACTTACGCTGCGCAAAGAGCACTATTTTCGTAATCAGCGAGTCCGAAAACCTCTATGGGAGAAGTTTCCGGTCAGTCCAAGATCATCAATATTTTAGCCAAAACCCGTCGGCGAGCTTCACAGCCTAGAACGGAAAAAAATCGAAGGACCCGAATTCCTTGGAAAACTTGCGCAAAGAGGCTAAGCCTGCTGATCACGAAAAACACACCTGCTTTGCAAATTAGCGTCTTGCTGTATTTTTACGGTAGCTAAAATTTGAGAGACAATGATGTTTGCAAAATTCACCGGCCTATCTTTCTCTTTGGAAAAGGGGTCCTCAGCTATTCGCTAGCGCATGATAATCTACAGGAACAGCTCTACCGAATCGTGTTTACTAGAGTCTTTCATGTGCGTTCTTCGCTGAGTTACACTACTACGAAAACCCGTCCTCATATAGGCCGTCCGCGCAGGGCGCGGAGAGTGCGCAAGGTGTGTATTGCGCGTCACTCCTCTTTCCCCGTGCACTCTTGCCGCCTGTTTTTCTCTGCGCTCAACTATCTTCACTGACCGCAACAGCGTTGCTCTCCGCGCGCAGCGCGGACGGCCTATACACAAATCGAGAAGACTGAAAACGGAGTAGTAAGAGAGTGCAGTATATCAGAAGATTCGTATTGACGCGCTAAACATCATGCTCTCTTCGGACTCATATTTTATGCAATCTGGAGGAAGTTATTATGAAGAAGAAACAAAAAAAAAAACACGGATCGTCAGTTTTTGCGTTTTCTGTCGAATAAATAATGTGGGTACTGTAGTTCCGTGAAAACGGAATCCTAAGTGCTTTCAATTGTACATCTTATATATAAAGCTGAATGTCTGTTTGTCTGTCTGTATGTCTGTCTGTCTGTCTGTGTGTACGTATGTTCCGAATAGAAAATTCCATTTCTGAACCGATCCGGACCAAACTTGGCACACATACACTACGGGCCCCGGCGGGTGTCATAGGCTACTTTTCGTCATCGATCGATATCGATTTTATCGATTTTTATCGATTGTTTTGCTGAGTTCACCTACGGGGCTGGGAGTTGGCACAGGGGGGTAATCGAGCATGGGGATTCCGAATACAATATTGGTTTTCAGGATTATCGATTACTTTTATCGATTTTATCGATTTTTTTGCAAAGTTTGAGCTAGGGGGCTGGGAGTTGGCACAGGGGGGTAATCGAGCATGCTGATCATCCCCAAGGGGGGTGATCAGCATGCTCGAACACCCCTGTGCCAAATTCCAGCCCCCTAGCTCAAATTTTCAAAAAATCGATAAAATCGATAAAAGTAATGGACGATCTTGAAAACTAATATTGTATTCGTAATCTGCATGCTCGATTACCCTCTGTGCAAACTCCCAGCCCCGCAGGTCAAACTTTGCAAAAAGATCGATAAAATCGATAAAAGTAATGGACGATCTTGAAAACTAATATTGTATTCGTAATCTGCATGCTCGATTACCCTCTGTGCAAACTCCCAGCCCCGCAGGTCAAACTTTGCAAAAAGATCGATAAAATCGATAAAAGTAATGGACGATCCTGAAAACTAATATTGTATTCGGAATCCCCATGCTCACTTCCCCCCTGTGCCAACTCCTAGCCCTGTAGGTGAACTCTGCCAAAAAATCGATAAAATCAATAAAAGCAATCGATAATTCTGAAAACTAATATTGTATTCGGAATCCCCATGCTCACTTCCCCCCTGTGCCAACTCCTAGCCGTGAAGGTGAACTCTGCCAAAAAATCGATAAAAATCGGTAAAATCGACATCGATCGATAACGAAAAGTGGACTGTGACACCCGCCGGGGCCCGAAGTGTATGTGTGCCAAGTTTGGTCCGGATACGGCGGAGCCGGGTAAGCCAGCTAGTTACGTATAAAACTAACATTTTTCTCGTCAACATCCTGGAGGGATTAAGTCAATCACATAATAAGATTGCTATAGTCAACAGCGAACGTACAAAAAAGATGTCATGGTCAGAAAAAAAGCACTATACAAGTTTCAGGATTATTATTTGAAAAATAGAAGATAAGAAAGATAATCGAAGGAGATATTTCGTAGAGCCGGTATATACAGTCGAGTAGATTTAGCGGTAAATATAGTGTGCTTGCACAGAAGGTGAAATGCGGTGAAATTAGCGCGTGAAGAAATAGTTTCGACTGTGACGCCGGCTAATTGCGCGCGCAAGATACCCGCGGTACTGACGTGGCTACTTGTTCACGCGCAAATTTCACCGCATTTCACCTTCTGTGCAAGCACACTATATTTACCGCTAAATCTACTCGACTGTACCTCGTACCAGATTCGGTGTACCCAAAATACATGCATTTTAATTTTGCGACTTCGCATCCTTTTATGGAATATCAAGTTGGCTGCGTTTGCAAATCTGCTAAGATATTTTGTCATGCCTTTCTTATAAGGTACACGACTCCATACGCCGACATTTTTCCTAAATGTATGTCCATGTCGAATTTCCAGAGAAAAGCTCATTGTGGATCGCATGGTCCGAAATGGTAAGAGATTCTGACTTTCTGACACACCTTAGTTGAAGGCTGAGCTAAAAAAGTGCGCGGTGGTTTTCTACATCCGGAAAAATCATCAAATTTCATGGAACATCATCTCTTGAAACACTTAGAAATGCCCTTGTTTCAAATATCTTATCATCATGCTAACAAGGGAAGGATAGTTGGATGCCGCGGCCATTCCTAATGATTTGTATACCAAAAAATGCGCCTTCGAATGCAGATTCTGAATCTGTGCTCGAAATCTGCGAAATGATCTTTTGAAGAAAGTTATGAACTTTTTCCTTGAGAATTTAGCCTACTTTTGGATAGTAAAAATCACCAGATTTGATCTAGCCTACCGTTTGATGCTACTGAAGAAAATTTTAGACGTAGTATTTATTTAGACTATCTGGATCATACTCAGCATTTGGAAAGGAGAAAAAAATTTTTTATTGATGATTTTGACCCTCCGCAGGAACGCAATTTTTTTAATGGAAAAAAAATCATAACTCCATTCAGATTATCGTTTCGCAGATATGAAAGACAGTCTACGAACCAGCATTCAAAAGCGCATTTTTTGGTATACAAATCACTATGAATGGCTACGGCATCCAAGTATCCTTCCCCTGTAAGTGCACGAATTGCTATCATCTCCGATTCTTCAGTCGTCAACCCAGACATAGCGAAGCAAATGATACAGACATTCTTTGGTCGTCAACCCAGACATTCTTCAGTCGTCAACCCAGACATATCGAAACAAATGATACACGAATCGTGACTTTTTAGTCTCGTGCTCATGATCCAATCATTTCGCTTCAGAAACATCGAAGGTCGTTGATGATTTGACACTCCTTCTTACGCATATATCACATTAATAAACTCAGGTCGTACTCTCTAACCAATCCCTACTGTACCAATTCCTACCTATCCCTATTTACTTCTACTGTTACTCCTACAGTACTTTCCTACAGTTACTTTTACACTAGTGCAAAGCACGTTCACCCGAACTGAAGTTGGTGAGATTTTGATGCTGTATAATAGCGGGGCTCCTAACTGAGGTGACCGACCAAGTCCCGCTGTAAATTGTGGAACTCCGAAGCGAGAAAATCGCTCCAGAAGGTAGAAGCGGCCCAGGTGGCTCCGCCCACCAATATGGGTGGTCTGAAGATCAAAAGTCTAAAATTTGGCTGAATGTATCTAGAACTGTCATGTACTCCTTCATTATAATGACCAGATTTTTAATATTTCTATGTATCCTGAAGCCCAATTCCGGGCTTATGTCCGGACCACCCACGTTGATGGGCGGTGCCGCCGGGGATGCTTCTACTCTCTGAAGCGATTTTCTCGCTTCAGAATCCACCTTTTGCAGCGGGATTTGGGTAAGCTAGTTAGTTAAGGGCCCCGCTACCATACAGCATCAAAATCTCAGTAATCTCGATTTTGGGTGGACGGTGCCTTCATCCACAAAAATTTTTGGAAATTTTTTCCAGAATTCTAACTAAAAAAATTTTGTATGCTTTAGAATCGTACATGGCAGACTTTCCAGCTTCACCAAGAAATTACGTTCAAATTTATGCTTTCCCAAAAGTTTTCAGAATGGAAGCAATCGTCACACCAAGTTATACCATTCGGCGAGCTACTATGGATGACTATGATTCCTTCCTTAACATTATGGTTGACGCATACACTAGCACCGAACCAGTTGCTAGAGCCTTGGGTGTTACACGAGATGAAGCCGTGGAGTTTGTTAAAAGTAAGCAACACCCAAGAATGTCAAAATTTTTAGACAAATCTGTAAAATTGAGGTTTCTTGCCTCACTACCTTCCACAAGGATATTCACTAATTATGGAGAGCGATGGAGAGGTTGTTGGAGGTTATTTGGTGCAATATGTTCAAAGGTAAACACTACATTTCTATAAAGAAATGAACCTAGCAACCTTTTTCAGACCCAACCCCATTTACCCATCCGGACCTGACCCTGATCTTCCACCGAAGATTTTTCTCATAGAAACTATTGCACATAAACTTTCGGAAAATGTAAGTTTTTACTACCGTAATCATCACCATCACCAACCACTGATGTGTTTCCCTTTCAGTTTTGGGACATCATGCCTGTCCAATTTACTCGATGTATGCATGCCCTGTACCTCGTTGTTATTCCTTCTTGGCATTTTCGAGGTGCCGGCTCTGCTCTAACAGCGGCAGGGATTCAAATGTCAAAGGACGTGGGAGCTGATGTGGCATTTGCTGAAGTGCTTAGCAATCATATCCTCCACGTAGGTGTTAGCTTACAATTTCTGCATTCGTAGTATTGAGCGTAGTTACCGTACGACATTGGTAGTAGCTGCAACGATCAAAGTATTGCCCATGCGATGGCGACAACAACTGCGTGGGAAAAATTAGTCCTGCGTGTAATGCCGACACCACTTGCGCGTGAGTATTGTGTGGAAAGCAAATTCGAAACTCGTGCCCGAAAGGGGTGTAGGGCGTTGAGCGACAAACCCAATTTTTTTGGACCCCAAAGAACTCCCCGTGCAAAACGGCTCCTCCGCCAAAAACAGGGGCGTGGGGGTCGGGGTCGATACATTACTCGACGCCAATGAAGAATGGTGCATAGTTTTGAGTTACGGGATTTACGCTGCTTGCGTTTTGCATGTTTTGTCGCCTAACGCTTGCCCTCCGCGCCCGAAAGCTACGCCCCGTCCCTGGCATTTTGAGCGGCAAATAAGGATGCTGGTTCTGAACGTGACATAGTGATGTCGATTGGGCGGAAGTTTGAGTTCTGACCAAATCGACTGTAGATTAATCTTGCCATCATTATTTTTATAATAACATTACTCAAATTTGAATTGAGCTCAAGAAATTGAATCAAAACCCAAAGAAAATAAATGAGCACTTTCAATAACTTTTACCACCTTGGCTTAACCTGAGCGGAAACCACAAGGAGCTTGAATTTGCTGCATTTGATACCCGCCTTCGCCCGTCCTTCTTAGGGATCGTTCAGACCGCGCCCGACCCGCCTAGTTACGTCCGAATCCGCTCAAACCCGCCCGGATACGTCCGAATCCGCCCAAACCCGCCCAAATACGTCTGAATCTGTCCGAACCCGCCTGAACGCCGGAACTGCCAAAGCGCCAGATATGCTTTGAGCTTCGTGTAACTAAGGTATGCACCACGCGGCAGTATTCCACGCGTGCTCCAGTATGCCAATTGGCACACATATCTGCTGCGCTTTGGCAATTCCAGCGTTCAGGCGGGTTTGAGCGTATTCGGACGTATTCGGGCGTAATTGGGCGGATTCGGACGTATACGGGCGGATTCGGACGGGTACCGGCGCGGTTTGAATGGTCCCCTAGCGTGAGAAACCGAGATGGAGCGCACATCCAGCCCCATGGCCACTTATTACGTGCAGACATTGTCGGCAGCGCAAAGACACTGCAATATCGTCAAATCGATAGAGTATGAGTGTACATTTCAATATCCGGATTGAGCATGAGGGTAATAAGTGGCGTGCACTGGAACGTTTACAATTCTTGATGTATCCCGAGTTTTGGAATCTTTGGATTCGATTGTAGTCGATATAGTGCAAACTAATGCAAGATCTATTGACCACACTGAGAATTCATTTTTTTTTACAAATTTAATTTCAGGTGAGTCAACCGTATGGTTTCTTTGAACTACGCTCCATACTTCACTCACATTGGAAAGACCGTAAAGGAAAACCCTTGTTCAACATCAAAGGAGCGAATCGATCGATACTCTTTGCAATGTTCTTCAAAAAGACTGTTATTGATTCGAAACTGTGAATAAACATTTTTTTTTCAATAAAACTACGATTTATTATACTTCTAAGATAAGGGTTTTGCTTGTTGAAATTTAAGTGGTGGTGGTCGCTGGGTTTTCAGACGCTTACTTATCACTTCTGGTAGCTCCTCAAGACCCTTCCGTTCCTAAATTCACACACTGACTATGGGGCGGTCCAGAGCCAAAGATTAGTACGGACTTACCGTCTGAAACGTCTCAAGAATACTTATCAGCGTTCGCGTAGACGCTACGGCAGTTCCATTACAAGTGTGTACAAATTTTGTTTCACCGTCATTCGTCTTGTATTTTATTCCTAAAAATCTTTCTTAAATGATAAAAAACCTAGAAACCTTCTACAAGATAAAAAAAAATGAAAAATAGCTTTGGTACAGAAAAGTGAAAACAAATTGGGCTGAGGTGCTTGATCGCCTATTAATGCAAACATTTCCCCAGCTGTCTCATTTGCGGCGCAGCTACGGGTTTTTTAATAGCGATTTGAAGAAAGCGGTCAGAAAGTTTCATTTGTCTACGTCATTGACTCAAGTGAACGGATCTAAAATAGCTGATAAGCTAATACATACCAAGCCTCCTTGCTTGGTAATCTGTACAATTACTAGCGGATGAGACTTCGCCGTAAATCTTCCGCCCTGGCATCCATGCCTCTATGTCAATCTTACGAGCTGCTGGCGCCCCCAGTTCTTCTGTTGGCATCTCCATTTGCCTGAAGTGACCTAGCGTAACAAAAAAACTAAAACCAAACTGTGACAAATATGAACTTATATATGCTCCACATTTCTGAACCAGTAATGCCTACCTGCAGTGAAGACCAAAAGATTCAAATGTTCCTTTCTGGATTTCTACAAGATATTTCAATTCTGATTCACTTTGTTCTGGAGTACACATCACATACATTTCAACCTGTAACGAACTTAATCGAGACTTACTCATGAATATGAATGATACTACCTTCGTGAATTCATGGACCCGATAGAGCTTTGCTTCACTAGCAGAATTGCTCACTTCAGGACGGAAGCATCTGCAAGAGATGCCTGGTCTCAATCATGTATTCCTTGTTCAAAAACGTAATTTTGGAGTTTATGTGCTTGGGTAAAAGGTCGACTTTCAGATTTTGTGCTTACCCGGGCCTATTCGTTATGCTGAATCCGAAAGTCCACACTGTGGAGCGCGAAAACGGCAAAAAGGGGCTTTAATGCACGAGAGAAATCAACAGGTGGGCGGGGTCTTCCCTGTAAATTCACGCTTCCAGCTTCAGGAGTGAACTTCCCTATTCCCGCCCTGATATCACCATCCGCTGAGTGCAAACGCGTGAAATGAAATGGGAACTGAGAAGATCGCTCCGGAAACTGGGAACGTGAAATCACAATGCAGAAGACCCCGCTCACCTGATGGTTCCCCTCCTACGTTAGAGCCCTTTTTCGTCGTTTTAGCGCTCTCCAGTGCGAATTTCCGGATTCAGCATAGTGAATGTGCCCGAGTAAGCACAAAATCTCAAGACGACTTTTTTGAGCAAACACTGCCCGCCTTCAAGTTGATCTTCACACCCAGATCATGCTCAAAAGTACGTGGCATTAGCCTATTTTGAGAACAACCTCTGCCATTGGTCAGAACTGCCTTACTTTCAGCTACATGTCTTCGTGTTCACACCGTTCTCACCTGCTTAGAGCCACAAGCCTCAACGGGAGCTGCTCTTCTGCAAAAGTCTTGTTCCGTAGAAGAGCTGATATGCCCATCTCTGCAGTTCCTGAGAGAGCAACGTCAGGCTCATCTTGTAAGGAATACTGAAATAGTCCCATTATTGCATAGGAAGAAGCAATTAATGATGCGAACCTGTATGTCCTTTTGTGTCCTCTGTGAAACTCCACAGGCTTCTGTCACTTCTTTCGAAATGAGATCCGGCACCGACACGGGTTTGAAACCCAAAACGCAGACGCGGTCGAAGACGTAATCGAGAACAACCTTCTCGAGATTTGCCAAAGCACCTCAAAAATGATTACGATCTCGGATGCAAAAATTTCCCGCATTGGATAACATTTGAAAATGTGGGCTGACCGACAAATGCGTAGCTTCTCTCGCCACATGCATCTACGGGATATAGTAGGGACCTCCAAGACTGAACTAGTTTCTCTGCCGTCAAGAAATCTCCCTCACGCTTCTCACCCCAAGCTTGCATGACCTTCAAATATACAACACTATCACAAACTACAATCACAACTGCTACACCAACCTTAGCATTCTCCTCTGGACCTTTCGGTGACTCTTTACTGGACATATTAGGGATTTTCAGTGCTTCTTCATAAAACTGAAATAACAATCAAGAGAGGCGTAGCTACTTTTCGGCAGGGTTTCGAAAGAACCCACATCATCCCACATTTTCTTTAGCGCATCTTCACTGAGAGAAGGCTTGTTCTTTAGAGTATCTTCACTAAGAGACGGCTTGTCCTGCGCGTCAATGAGTTTCCGCAACTCAGTCCATTTGCTTCGTACAAGATCGATGTCCCCAACGCCTTTTCTTTCGCTGAAAAACACTGATGGATTGAAGGCACGTTCCAGGAACGCTGAGTGACAGCACTCAATTTCATAACTATGTGTGCGAATGATGAGCATGCCGCTGTCAGTATGCAAGACCTGTTTGATTCCCTAAATCGTTCCTACTGACTCTTTGCCCTAATCTCCGACTGAACCAACTTCTACATAGGGCGAGGAAACCAGAAAGTGGGTAAAAGAGATAAACTGCGACTAATGTCATCAGACTCGATGATGTGCACTAAATGCCACTAAGTGTGACCGATTCAAAAAATGCTTGGAGGATACGTCTGCAGACGCGGCGCAAGGTTCAAGCGAGGTGGCCGCGTAAAACTCGAAGCCCACGAGCTGGTGACACTGCCGTTGAGACAGATAATAGTACCACTGAAGTTGGGGCGCCGTTGATTTCAGTCGTATATTGGCACGCAAATAAGATTCTAGTGCTGACCCGTTTCATCGCGCACTACTTAACTGCACCTTATGACGAGTAGTCTCAAAACACTCAGCTCCACCTACTGGTATCTACCGCTGCGCGATGCAACATATACTTGAGATAGAGAATTTCTGAAAACAACTAACGCGATATTTTTCTTGATAGCCTCTTGATTGGCATCGTCAAGGAGGAAATCGAAGTCGAGATCTGGTCGAAAAGTTGAAAGAGAACGCAACTGCGGTAACCTCAGACCATTGGCTCGAAACTTTCTGGCTATCAGAGCAACCGCCACGCGCTTCATTTAGTCATTCACTTCAAGAGAAACTGGTAAGATCTTCATGCTTGCCTGCACAAATATCGAAAAGATAAACCGTAAAGACGATTCACACATGGATGCACGAATAATTAGAAATTTTATCACATCTATGCCATCTTTATCAAATTTTACAATAAAACAACTGCATAACAATAACGAGTAGAGATCCTTTGCACAATTAAAGACTGCTTAAATTACCCATAATTCCAGCAAGTGTTCAGTGTCGGGCAGTTTTCCTCTCGGCATACATTTGATATCGAGCATAAGCACGGGCAAGCATTTGATAACAATGTTGGACCTAAAAGATATTTGACACCGTATATCGCAGATTAAAAATTGAAATAAAAAAATGAAACTGAGAACAACGAACAGAAAATTTACATTTACTCTGCCAAACTGCCGTTCTGCATCTCGAAGCTGATTTGCCTCGTACTTCTTCAAGGTCTGGGACATTCGCTCCAGCTGCAAACATCAAATCAAAAAGGTACGGCCAGCAAAGAATTGCACTCACCTTCTCCTCTAACTCTGGTGTAACAGGAGGAAAACAAGTCCAAAAATGTTTCAAAAGTTCCGCAGCCGAGTCATGGATAGCACGTAATTCATTCAGTTGTGCTGGTGACAAGCCCCATTCTGAAGGATCACCTGATCCATTCAACTGTGCTTCTGAAGCCGTGCCGTTCTAGAATAGATAGAAAACTTCTCCATTGTACATTTAAATTCACAAAACCAGCTACAGTGAAAAAAATTATAAGGAAAACGACGAAAAGAAGTAAAATATGGAAGTACATCCTCGAAGAAAACACTGCGTACTAAAAACACACACTATAAGATGGGAGAACATCAAGAGAACTTACTGCTTCAGTGATCTCCATTTCGAATGCATCTAGATCTTCATCTTCCGGAATCAAGATGTCCTAAAAGAATAAAAAAGATGTACAGTGCTTAGAACACAACAATTGCATGAAAAATGGCAAAGGTGCCAAAACCACAACATGTGAAAAGGAGCATTTCTTGAGAAGGAAACTGACTACCTCATCAGACGAACTTTCTAACAAAGTGAGCACCATGGATTTATAGTTGGCAGCTTCCTCAGGGGTATAAGTCCTCTATAAACATAAACACAAAAATTAACTTCAAAGCCAAACTCTCAGAATACGCCTACATTTATTCCTTCATGATCTTCCTTTATGGCTACGCTCTGGCAGTCCTGTTGTCCATCTTGGTCCACAAGTTCATCTGACTCCAGCCTCTTTTCGTCTTCTTCCATAATTCGCTGCAAGAGTCATAACCATGATAATAGAAAATACTGTGGTGCAAGAAAACTCACATTCAAAACGCCAAAGCCAGACTGTTTTGGTGCGCCTTTGCTACTTTCGCCTGTGGGAGCAGGAGGTCTGAGGACTGCCAAAATTTTTTCGGACAGGTAGTTGCAACGCCGTACTAAAGTGCTCTTTTGTGGTGCTTTCTGATTATCCAGTCTCTGTATTGAAACCAAAAATCAGTCAAAACTCTTCTGGTTTGGGCAAAAACGTACCGCAAGATCTTTCAAACTATTGTCATTGAGATGATCGAGATCAAATCGTTTGCGATTGATCCCATCACCTTGAATCTTTTCCATTTCAGCATCGTCCATTTTCACGCAATCCGCAAACGGATCATTGGGGTTGGGAAGGACCTTAGTTGTCGAAAATCATGATCAATGCATATGGAAGTAAAATCGACATTATGAAAACAAGACGCAATAAAAAGTAGACTATAAGAAGATAGCATACCTCACGCTCTCGGTGAAAGTAATGCGATTGAAAGAACTTCGTCCAGAACTGAGCCTCGGTCATTTCATGAGGTACAAGCTCCAAATGCTTCTTCTCGACTAAACATAATAACTGACAAATACAAGCACATTCACGGGTGGTAACACAAAAGGAACTACCTGCCGGGTAAGTGTTGAAGACTGCCTGAATGATCTCGGTGTTCAAATTCAACTTTATACCATTTGTGCCCTCTTGCTGTACGATATTCGTCAAAAAAGCACCACTGATACCCGCTTTGTCTTCCACAGTACCGGACTAGATCAGAAATTCGATCGATACAAAAAATCTAACTAAATAAAACACCCTCACCGACTGGTAGTAATCGGTCCAAAATTCTTGAGCGCTTATCAGCTTCGACGCCACAAGATGGGTATAGAGCTGATCAAGTTGCTTGTTTTCTCCTAATATCCGCTGCTTCTCTTTCAATTCGGATTGTTTCACATCCTTCTCGTTGGATGCCGCTAACTATATCGAAGTAATATTTGTCAGAAAAAGAAGATGATTGGGTGGTTTTATATCGTATTCTTTTGTTTCTTCTTGATCTTTTATTAGCTTATCACACCACAATTTGAGGAAGAGTGAGTGACCATAATGACTGCACTCTTCATCTCGATGGCAGCCGGTACCAAACCGCAAATGATGTGCCCTTGCACACATTGGCACGAAAACCTTCGACTGTATGGCACACGCCATACCTGATCCGCTTAATCCGTTTGACCCGCTTCGTCATTGGTCTTAGTGAACTGACCAATAGTGAATTGTATGAAGTGGATTAAGCGGATCGAGTGGAGGACCACTTCGATATTGGCCAGTTCACTAAACTGACCAATGACGAAGGGATCAAGTGGATCGAGCTCAAGTATGGCGCGTACCTATGACATACCAGTAGAAGAGAGAAAAAACCAGTAAAAACAAAAAAGAAGACAAAGCTATGCAAAATCCAAAAACTTCAAAAATGAGTATGGACATACCTGGTTAACCCTTTGACGGTGAGCTATGAGAGCCTGCTGTAAAGTCTCTTTCAGCAAATCCCTTTCTTTTGTAAGTCCTTCTTTGTCCAGAGCCGGGTTCAAGAACACAAAAGTTGCCTGGTCATCATTTTGAAGTACTAGTTGCAACTGCACTTTCGACTTGTTGGGAGGAGATACGCGTTGACCTGAAATTCGCTTCTTTAAAATGAACGAAGAATAAATTTTATCAACAGCCTACCTTTGATTTGCATGAATTTTACGTACAAAATTTCGGGACCAGCGTTATCCCTCCATTCAACATGTTCTCTGCAGAAAAGAAAAAATGAGAAATTAGAAAAGTTAATCAATGGTAATGAATAATGAAGACATCTGGAAACTGGGAACTTACTTGTATAACATCAGTCGTCCTATTGGTGACCGACCGTCGCCAGGTTTTCTGTACTTGATGTGATCAAGGGTTAACAACATTTCGGAAGTGTCCACCATCGCTAATTACGGAAACCGCCCTCTAATAATAACAACCTATCTGTAAATGTAAAAATGTTTTTTTCTGATGCAAATGGAAAACATTAGCGCTATGTCACATGTAAAATTGAAGCCAAGCAAAAAATAGTGACACCACATTTAGTAGAGATCTACCAGCATGCTGGTAATAAAATAAAATAAAAGTCCAGAAATTTTTGAATGAGTAGGGCTTCAAACGCTCGCCAAATGTAATATTATCAAGATTATGGACCGAGCTCGAAAAGTACAGCTAGTACCAAATAACAAAACTGCTTCTACATAAATGCCTAAGCTTCAAGGAAAAACAAAATAGAACTTGATGCGCTCCCAAGTTTTCAAATTCGTTCGCTTTCTGCAAATCAGCGCCGTCAATTAGCGCAAAGTAGACGTAGGAACTGCGCAGACTTGATAGCTTACAGTTCGCGTTAAGCTTGGTTGCTTCATTTTTTCGATCCACCCACCTTGTTTTCAAGAGTTTTGGTTAGTCATGTCTCTCAGGTTCATTTCGTCTCATTCTTCTTGAACAGTCTGCTGGATGCGTTCCTTCTTCAAATACGAAACTAACCTCTGTTGCTGAAACAATTGATTGCAATCAAAACAAGGTTCGAGCGTTTCTTATTTTTTAGCAATGTCACGGGAGACAAGCAAGTCTCCCGGCAGTGAAACACGAGCATTTGTACCCGAAGATGGTAATGTTGGTAGTGTGGACGGTCATCGTCTGTCGTTCTCGACACCAATGACGGCTTCCATCCCACCGATTGAAATCGAGATAGAAGAAAACGAACGCGAAAAGGATAAGAAGTGGAGTCGGAAGTCTATTGAAGAGCATAAACCAAAGAGGAAAGAGACTGCGACGACATTCTCAAATTTCTTACATCGCTTTACTCGATCGGAAGATAAAAAAGATGATAAACAAAAAAATGCCATAAACGAGGAGGATCAATTGGAGCGGCCAGATAAGCTGCAAGTTCCTGAAGCAGAGGAGAAGTGGTTTGAGATGAAGACTATAGATGGCGGATATCGAACTGCTCTCGACACAGGTAAGCTTGCACATCAGGCTTGTTTTTTTCATTTTTTATTGGTGACTAGCGGCCCAATGGCTAGCAGGTGTGAGAAATGTTGCATTGAGTCACCAAAGCGTCGTTTGACACTTTTTCAATGCCGTAAAAGCTAATAAACTTCATCTAGTGATGTTTGGATTGAAACGTTCTGCTGGGAAGGCATGCTGCGCATATAGTTTTGATGACGAAAGTACGACTGCTTGCAGAAGAATGTTTGGAGTCAAGAAAGATGTCGCATTTAGTGAAGCTCATTCTCCAGAATAGAAATGCACACCTTACAACTCGCGCTTTTTCTCTAGACTCTCCCGTACAGCATCCTTCACGTAGCTCTCTTTTCTGTGGCTTTTCTTAGCTGATGTATTGCACGTTCTTTTCGGTGTAAAATTTTCTCAAAGCGTTATCAGCTTTTTCCGACAAAGCATTAGAGGAGGGTGAGGACGCGATTCGCGTCCGTACTGCTTTCCACACAGGACCACTGTCGCGCGCGGAACATTCTGCGGTGGCTTTTGCCTAAGCAAAGCAGGCGGAAGAAAGATTTGCGGCGTGCTGACGTGTTAAGACAAGTCAAAATCAGTATAGCGCTGGAGACCGCAGGTGAAAGGACTGTCTTCTATAAGAGCTTAGTTTCCTCATCACTCTAGCCTTAAAATATCAGTTTTCCTTTCCCAGTTTCTTAGCCAAAATGCACTAAGTTTTTCCCTCTAAAACTCCACAGTGAAGTTGTCCACTTTTTCTCCGTTATTCAAGAAACTGTCCCGTTTGCAAAACCCCTTTTTCCAAAAGCTTACTGAAGAAAGTCGCAGTATCCTCCTCCTCCTTCAATGTACTTCTAGTCAGTGTGCTCACAGTGTCCCTCTCATCTTTCGTGCCAAAACCGCAGAGCCCGGCGTACGTTGGTTCGAAAGATTATGGAAGACTAAGCTCTCCGCAGAATGCAGAAAGAATATGGGATTCGTGATTAGCACCTCAGAAAACCCCCAGACCAAATTTCAGCCAAAACTGAATTGACTCTTTCAAATATACCCACCGTTGCCCCACCAAATGACGTTTTTGTGAAAAAAATGTAATATTTGTGATCCCCATCGAACAAATCTCAGCCAAATTCACGACTTTGAAATTTTGGGCCGCGGACACAAGGATAGCACCGTTCGAACTTCCCCGCAAGCACTCAGATAATCGCCGGGGCAGGCGGTCCTCAAATTCGCGCTTTTCTGCAAGCGGTCAGCGGAATTTTGAGGCGTGGCCAAACCTTCAGCAGGCGGGGGATGGTCAGGAGGTACGATCGGCGCGAATTTTTCGCGAAGCGACGCCGCAACATACTTCAGCCCTTACAACAGCAGCACTTCTGGCGCAGTCTTACTTATAGCACCAAGTCATGTGTCTGCCCCACACTCACTCCCCTGTTTTTGCCGCCGGAATCTCTATGGCGGGGAGTCTTAAAGCCCCAAGATTTGAGCGCGGTGTGTGCGGACGAGCGGCCGCCGCGCGCGGCGTACGTCCTGACATGCAGCCTCAGCAGGCGGCACTTCCTTTACGGTCGCATTCTGCCAGCGGCAGCAATACAGCATTTTTTGCAAGCGCTTGGCAAATAATTTCTTTCAGCGAGTGCTGGCCAAACTTTCAGCAAGCGCTCGGACTCTTTTACGCAGTTTCGGGCGTACGCCGAGAAAAGGTGAGACTCTATGTAGCGTGTCATCGATGGTTTGATTAGCCAAGCTTGGGGTACCTTCTTCCAACGGAAGGCACCCTGGGCAGTGCAGTTCTCCACAAAGGACCGTGCGGCCCCAACAATTTTGCATATTCTCGCGGAAAGATCGCGAGAATGCGGTTACTGTGCCGCAACTTATTCACGGAAAGACCGCGATAGCTCTCCGAGCGTTTGTCCAAAAATTGGCCAAAATTATTCCAGATTTCTGCAAGCGGACCGGAAGAAATCAGCAAACTATTTTTCCGGTGCCCTTGCTTAAAATTCGCATAGCCGCCTGCCCCTGCAAATATCTGAGCAAATCCAATCCAAGTAAACAACTTGTTTTCCAAAATTCTTATGCCAAAGCGCGAATCTCCTTTTTTTCTGGAAGTTCTCTCTATCTTTATTCGAAGCATGCTATGCTGCAGCCGATAAGTAACAAATGGATAATGCGCGCGGCGATCGCTTTTACGCGCAATTCGTGCTCATCTCGTACATGCACAAGTCGGGGATCTTCATAGCGCGCTTCTGTGGCGCTTTCAACCTAAGCGAAGGCGTAAAGGTTATCTACTATTGAGGCGCGTTTGATCTGACCCATTCTCCTTGGTTTTTCTCATTCAGTTAATGACGGTTTACGAATATGTGTGTGATCGCTGAAGTTCAGTGAAGGAAGAAGTGAATGTTAGAATTTAACCCTAAGTGTCGAACTACTCATTTTTCAAAAATAATATGATTTCCTCCAGTATCTTCTTTTCTTTATCGCCCACGCTGTTCGATGAGATTGCGATTAAGTTGGCGCACTTGAAATGAACATAGTTTATATTTGTCGTGGAGCACGCCACATCTATGGCGCATTTAGCCTAAGCAAAAGAAGGAAACGAAATCTTTTTTGCTTGTACAGTTAGAGTAATGCAATTCGTCCACGATACGTACTCCTGGCATTTTATCCATAATACTTATTCCAATAATCGTCGCTCTGCAGCAGCCCTTTGGGGAAATTTTAGACTGTAATTTGATTACTTCCACAACGACTTATAATGCCAAATAACTGGAAGCATCTATATAGTCTTCTAGCGTTTTGTGAATACTCAAAGCCGCAGAAACTTCATAAGTGTGTTATCAGAACCACGAAAAAATATCATTCAAGAAGCAGCAGCGTTTCTAACCGATACGTTAACTTTGAGCGCTCATAACTCACGAACCATCGAAGATGGGTCCAAGAGAATGCTACCAATAAAAAGAAGACAACAAGCTCTTAAGCGAAAATGCTCTTAGATTTTTGAATTTCATTCATTTTGGGGGCAAAAAATGGCCTTGAAGTAGAGGTACCTTTGAAATTTGAAAGCCAGATTCTTTCGATAGTGGCAAAAAGGAATTCCTGAGTGGGGAATCGAACCCGAGTCTGGCAGCTGAGAGTCACACCCCTTAGCCACTAGACCATGGAGACTACATTGCATCTGCAGTTTACGCGCCTCAATCGCCTTTTTTTCATCAAACTCAAGAGGGAAGGGGGTACGGTGTCCAGGCTCCCGCAACGATCTTGAAATCCGATCAGAAAAACGGGGGTTCTGGTTTCCATTATTTTATATAATAGGATCTGTGGAGAAATCAGCTGTTTTTGGAGCCAACGATAGTGGCAAAAAGGAATTCCTGAGTGGGGAATCGAACCCGAGTCTGGCAGCTGAGAGTCACACCCCTTAGCCACTAGACGAGACTACATTGCATCTGCAGTTTACGCGCCTCAATCGCCTTTTTTTCATCAAACTCAAGAGGGAAGGGGGTACGGTGTCCAGGCTCCCGCAACGATCTTGAAATCCGATCAGAAAAACGGGGGTTCTGGTTTCCATTATTTTATATAATAGGATCTGTGGAGAAATCAGCTGTTTTTGGAGCCAACGATAGTGGCAAAAAGGAATTCCTGAGCGGGGAATCGAACCCGAGTCTGGCAGCTGAGAGTCACACCCCTTAGCCACTAGACCATGGAGACTACATTGCATCTGCAGTTTACGCGCCTCAATCGCCTTTTTTTCATCAAACTCAAGAGGGAAGGGGGTACGGTGTCCAGGCTCCCGCAACGATCTTGAAATCCGATCAGAAAAACGGGGGTTCTGGTTTCCATTATTTTATATAATAGGATCTGTGGAGAAATCAGCTGTTTTTGGAGCCAACGATAGTGGCAAAAAGGAATTCCTGAGTGGGGAATCGAACCCGAGTCTGGCAGCTGAGAGTCACACCCCTTAGCCACTAGACCATGGAGACTACATTGCATCTGCAGTTTACGCGCCTCAATCGCCTTTTTTTCATCAAACTCAAGAGGGAAGGGGGTACGGTGTCCAGGCTCCCGCAACGATCTTGAAATCCGATCAGAAAAACGGGGGTTCTGGTTTCCATTATTTTATATAATAGGATCTGTGGAGAAATCAGCTGTTTTTGGAGCCAACGATAGTGGCAAAAAGGAATTCCTGAGTGGGGAATCGAACCCGAGTCTGGCAGCTGAGAGTCACACCCCTTAGCCACTAGACGAGACTACATTGCATCTGCAGTTTACGCGCCTCAATCGCCTTTTTTTCATCAAACTCAAGAGGGAAGGGGGTACGGTGTCCAGGCTCCCGCAACGATCTTGAAATCCGATCAGAAAAACGGGGGTTCTGGTTTCCATTATTTTATATAATAGGATCTGTGGAGAAATCAGCTGTTTTTGGAGCCAACGATAGTGGCAAAAAGGAATTCCTGAGTGGGGAATCGAACCCGAGTCTGGCAGCTGAGAGTCACACCCCTTAGCCACTAGACGAGACTACATTGCATCTGCAGTTTACGCGCCTCAATCGCCTTTTTTTCATCAAACTCAAGAGGGAAGGGGGTACGGTGTCCAGGCTCCCGCAACGATCTTGAAATCCGATCAGAAAAACGGGGGTTCTGGTTTCCATTATTTTATATAATAGGATCTGTGGAGAAATCAGCTGTTTTTGGAGCCAACGATAGTGGCAAAAAGGAATTCCTGAGCGGGGAATCGAACCCGAGTCTGGCAGCTGAGAGTCACACCCCTTAGCCACTAGACCATGGAGACTACATTGCATCTGCAGTTTACGCGCCTCAATCGCCTTTTTTTCATCAAACTCAAGAGGGAAGGGGGTACGGTGTCCAGGCTCCCGCAACGATCTTGAAATCCGATCAGAAAAACGGGGGTTCTGGTTTCCATTATTTTATATAATAGGATCTGTGGAGAAATCAGCTGTTTTTGGAGCCAACGATAGTGGCAAAAAGGAATTCCTGAGTGGGGAATCGAACCCGA